TTTTTTGCAAAACTATGTATTTTTAGTTCTAAAAAAAAAAAAAAAAAAAAGTAGATTCGTTTCAGTGTCCTGTAATCTCGTTGTCAAGGTAACACTGCTAAATTCTGTCTCTACCCGTCAGTTTATCGGTTGTAATGAGGAACTCTGGTCACCTGTTTAGGAGAACTCAACTTTCAAAAACACGAAGTCGCCCAGCTACGTCTCCCTGCGTCTCATCAGAGGGGGGGGGGATCAATCTATCTATCTATCTATCTTTTTTCAAATACAAAAACATGTAGGCCTACTTAACGTGTTAAAAGACAAGGGTATAGGCTTTAAATTCAGACAAAATTTACATAATAGTCAGGGGGGGACAGGCAAATTATTATTATTTTTTTTATATTCTGCATTTATGTAGCTATATAATACTTTGCCAAAATCATAATATTAAAAATATATTTTAACATATACTACTGGGGTAAGATGTCCAGTTCTATACTCGGGACAAGAATATTTAGTTTGGGATTGTACTAAGTAACAATTAGAAAACAGTATTGCAGATTATTGTAATTTACGGTTTCCTAAAAATACACACACACACAAAAAAAACTGAATAGGCCTACTTAATACTTTTGAAATAGGACACTTTTCATTTAGAGTAAAAACAACAAGTGAACAAGTTCTTCAGGCAATTTCCAAAAGTGGTTCAATGACTCACTCCGTTTCCTGTTTTTCATCTTATGAATGTCATGTCCATATCATAGTGTTCTCTCCAGTCTGTGTGACCAGTCTGACATCATAAGGTAAATATTGTATTGTGTGGTTTCCTATTACTAAGTTATCAACACACAGAAGCTGATTTGAAGCTGAACACTGAGGAAATCTGAGTGTCTCAATAATTTGTTAATGTGTAACTAAGTTGACTGGTCATCATGCAATATATGTTATTTAAATACTGGGCAGACCCTCAGTCCACCATAGTCCAGCTCTAAAATCAGCAAAGCATCTGAAGGTAAATAGGAGATCTGTCTTTTTATTTTTTTACACCTTAATGACTGATTATCTATGTCTGTGATTAAAGACTTATCATTAAATGATCCTTGGCTTAGTTGAATTACGCTTAACAGTGATAACCAATCCAGACATATTACTGCATATCAGTTTTGCTCTGGGACTTTGGACTGTAATTTTTGGCGTAAATTCGTACATAACTATATATTACTAAAAATGTTTTGTATTTTAATTGTATTTTTAAAGTCACACAATCCTTTAAAAATCATTGGAATGTGCTGATTTGGTGCTCAAGAAATATTTGTTAAAAACACTTGTCCTGTTTAATATTTTTGTGGAGATTATAATACATTTTGAATTTGAATCTGGTCTTTTTTTTTTCTTGGCGGTGTAACAACAAAAATGGGGGGAAAAAATTCTCAATGATTTTGCTAATTTTATGAAAATTACCTGATATTTTTTTTTATGGTGAAAACAATTGCCGAAATTCCCCAAATAGCCAAAACTGACAGTACATGCTATTTTTTTTTTAATAAAATAAAATCATTGCCCATAATGATGTTACACACAACAGGTAAAAAATAATGTAGGAAAGCACTTGTCCGTAACAAAAAATGTTTAAGGTTTCTTTGCTGAAAAGAAAGTTTAAATGAACTGCATTTATTTAGTAAAATTTTAAATGTCCTTTCTGTCACAAAAGCATACATTTCTTAAAAAAAAAATCTTGTATTTTTTTACATTATAATCTGCATCTACATATTATCTAAGAGCGTTTTGCTGAACTGGAATGTACTCATTCGACTCTTTGCTCCTTTATCTGAGTCATGTGTTCTCTGCTCTTTGGTTCAGTAGGGTTATTGCACTCAAATGCAGCTCAGTACAGAGACCTCAGCTGCTGTAAGGCAAAAACTGGTCAATTTATTCTGTGAAAAAAGGGTGAAAGAGCAGAGATCGATCAGCCGTAGCAAACAGCCCCCTGTTGGCTCTGAAGTGCAAAAAAGTGTTGATATGTTGACATGTCTATTATAATTTAATGTATTGTGCGATAAGTTTTGTTAGGATTCTCATGCAATAGCAAGTCCATGTCATAATCAAATCAGTTTAATATCCAATAGGCACACCTGAAGGATTTCCCATTAAGATGAACAAGATGTTGCTCACTCTCATAGTGGTTTCCTGCTTTGCAATGGGAACAACCAATCGAGTGTATGTCCACCCTTTCAACCTCTTTAGCTCTGAAAACATCAGCTGTGAGGTTATTCAGAATGAGGAACACAAGCCCTTCGGGACCGTCCATCCACTGACTCCTCTTCAGGAAGGTACTGAGCCAGACCCACGACCCAGCAGCACAACAGAGAACCTGAAAAACCTCACCCAACGGACCGCTGTGTTAGCAGAACTGCAGAATTCACTCGGGCTACGCATGTATCAGGCACTTAGTCGTACACAGAAGCATGCAAACACACTGCTGTCACCCCTAAACGCCTTTGGGGCTTTGGTGACCCTCTACCTGGGAGCATCCAAAAAGACTGCTATTTCCTACCAACAGCTGTTAGGACTCAACCTGGAGTCTGAACAGGCCGACTGTGCATACTTTATTGATGGACACACAGTGTTGCGCACACTCCAGGCCATCAGCGCGCATGTAGACGAATCACGAAATGAGCTCAAGACCCTCATGTGGACTTTCATTAACAGCGACGCTGACCTTTCCATAGACTTTTTACGTGGAACACAAGACTTCTCAGATGACTCTTTTGTCCGAGCAGTGGACTTCTCAAAAGCAAAGGAAGCTGAGGTGCAGGTGAACAACTTTATTCAGAAAACATCAGACAGCAAGGTTAAGGACCTGTTTAAGGGTGTTACTCCAAAAACGGACCTGCTGTTTGCTAGTTCAGTGCATTTTAAAGGTGAGTGATTCGAAAATGATTCAAATATGTAAACTGTGCATCCTCATTTAATTAAACTATCTGAAGAATATTCTAAATATATACATTTCATTATGAATCTTGAAAGACTTAGTGACATTAGTAAGACTTTTAGCAATATGTTTTTTTTTTATTTCCCTTTTCCTTTATTGTTTAAGGACACACTTCAGTGGCTAAAATACCCCATCAAGTATTTAGGAGGAGAAAGAAAAATAGCCTATTTTTATTGTTATGTGCAACAGAAAAAAATAATGTAGAAAATAGACTCATGGAGGCACTTCAAAAAATAAAATAAAATAATTGCCCATTTTTGTTGTTACACACAACAGAAAAAATTATGTTGGAAATAGACTCATTGAGGCACTTGAAATGAAATAAAATAAATCACCTGCTGCAGGTTGGGTACAGTAGCTTTTTAAAATCTGTAATCTTTTCCAGGTAACTGGAAAACTGCTTTCCAACTTGAAGCAACCAGTGATCAGAAGTTCTGGACTCATGAGAACTCAAGTGTCGAAGTCCCCTTTATGATGCACACTGGAAACTACATGTACTTCAATGATGTTGGCAGGAAGTGCTCTATAGTCAAGCTTGGTCTCAGTAAGAGGACCTATATGCTGCTAGTGCTGCCTAATGAGGGAGCTAGCCTGCAGGACATTGAGAAGCAGCTCTTAACAGTCATACCTACATGGCATCGAAATCTAAAAGAAACGTGAGTACATGTTTAGTCTGAGAAAGTGCACACCGAAAATGGTAAATAAAATTACCTCAAAGACCAATCACAGATTTACTTGTTTGTGTTGGCAGGTATCTGGAACTATCGTTGCCCAAATTCTCCTTGACTGCTGTGACAGACCTGAGATCAGTTCTATCTGAAATGGCAGTGGAAAAATACCTCATGGGCTCTGATGCCAACTTCAGAAGACTGAGCAGCAAGGAGAACTTCACCGTTGATAAGGTAAAATTCTGTTTATGGCAAGAGTTTGCACTAACTGAAGGACCAGTCAAATTTGACTATAACCAGTTCTGACCAGCTGTAACAATTACAAATAACTACCTTTATTATCAACATGGTCCACACAGTTCTTTTCGTTATACTGTAGAACAAATGACAACAGTAATCTGTAGGCTGTATACCTCCATATATCTTACAGGTCCTCAACAAGGTTGTGTTTGAGATGACAGAGAGAGGATCGGAGGTTCAGAATAAAACTGAAGATGGAAGGGTTCCCCATAAAGTCACGGTCAACCGGCTGTTCTTATTTTCTATTGTAGAGGGGAACTCTAATGCCATACTCATGCTCGGCAAAATCGTCAATCCAACAACCTAAAAAAACTCAATTTTGGTGATGACTTTACATTATATTACAATATAAGCAGTGTTTTAATGTTTCCATTCAACTAATAACCATATGTTAGAATAATGGATACCATCAAGTCAGTGTCTACCTGTTATATCTTTGCTCAGGCAATCTTTTTAGGGATTTTCAGGACTTGGGTGTCTTATATTTTAGTATCTGCTAATTCAAAATGTTTAATATAGAGTTTGTTTCTATGCATAACATGGTTACTTGAATTAATTGCAATTATTTTAATGATGTATTCATAATAAGAACTATGTACAAACTCCATTTATGTACTGTTAAAACAAATTAAAGTTGAATATTTATGAATAAATATGACTTGGAGGGATGCTCATTTTTAACCAAAACTGCAAAATGATTCAACAAAAATGTAAGAAACCAAAAATCCTTTAAATAACAGCAACTGTACAGTATGAAATGTCATAATCATCAAACAACCCACATTTTCTTTATCCAGTAAGGAGTGAATCATTTAAGCACATGAACAATAAACAATTTTACAATCTTCATTATGCATCTAAAAAAACCACAGCATAGTACTTCAACACAAACTTTCAGTTGAGGGGTCACTGGCCTTTTCTAAATGTTCGACAAGGCCATTTTAGTAACAAATTAACTCTCTACACACACACCACACTCACAAATATTTCATACTATCCTCATTTTTTATTGTTAAATCTTAGTAGTGCCATTCTTACCCAGTGAAACACAAACTCCAACACCCATTTTGATATTTAAAAAAAAAAGAGAAGAAAAACAGAGGTAATTTGAGCATTAAACCTCTTTAGCGTTTGCACTGTTGATGCTATTTGGCAGGGTTCACCAGAGCTAATGTCTGAGGAGAAAAATTTCTGAGATACAACTCCAGTCAAACACCTGTATTGAGTGCAATGTTTTGATGTAACCACATATGACAGGACACGAGAGCTTATAGCACTTATAAGCTTATAGTATATGCTGAGTGTCATACAAAAAACTCTATTCTTTTCTCCAATAAGTTTGATCCATAAATTATATGACTTTTCTGGCCATATTATCCCATATAGTTCAACAATAAATAACTTATCAGAGAGTAAATCACATTCTTTTAGTGTGCTCCTTCTCCAGACAGGTTGAGATAGCTGCTATTAGAACGGTTGAGGGATGGCAGAACTTCATAAAACCACTCCTGGAGCATATACTGAGCCATGTGGCATCATTCGGATCAGTAACCATTTTGGACCCTACTTTTGATCATTGTGGTTTAGGACCCCGTCTGCTCCACTGAAGCGAGATCTCTTGCTTCCTGTACCAGTTCCAGCAGAGAAGAGAACATGGTGATGTCACTTGGCTGAAGACCCATCTTCTCAATCTTGGGTAAAAGAAAAAAAGAGAAGTACAATGAAGCAAACCTGATATGCACAAATAGGAGAGAAAAGCTAATCGTTCACCAAAACCCATGTTTATACCTGCTCTCCAAGATACTCCACATCCAGTGCCAGCTGCAGGCGGATCTTACTGTCATCTGATGGCCCTGCATTGACACCTATGGTGTTGGTGGTGGTCGTTTTCCTAGCCTGTTTCAACCTCTTTAGACTTTCCTCCATCTTCCTCACTGAGCTTAGCACATCTGATATAGTCTCAAAATACCTATTAAACATATAGGTCATTTTTAAACAAAAAGTTCTTCAATCTAGAATGAATAAAGTTCACCTAGATGTTTGTCTCTGCTATACCTATGGGTGCAGTCTGAGAGTGTGACCCGGAGCCACTCCTGAATAATGGAGTCTTTCACCACTTTTTTGGAGTCGGTCACCAGCTGATGGAGTGGCTGAAGTGCGTTTTCCATATAGGCTGAGGCTCTGGTGGGCACTTCCTATTAATGAGAGAGCAACTAAAGTTCAGGCCAGAGCACTGAACATCTTTTTGTTTCCATGTAGAGGAAAATGTAAACTTGCAAAGCTTGCAAACGGGCACTTTCAGGTTTTTAAAGTATGTAACAAAAGTAGCTACAGACTTCTTTCACATTATGACATCACATTATGAAACAGATTAGCAAAAAAGAAAAAAAAAAAAGTAGGACGGGGACTTAGGACTTTGTTCTATCCAGCGGTTGTTGACTGGTTATTCCTTCCGACGGTTTATAAATTCTGTTTAAGATGGATAGAGTCATCAAATTGTTTGAGAAATCTGTTATTTAACTAAGTAAATATTGTATGGGGAAAAAGTAAACCAAATAATTTATAAACATTTCAAAACAAATCAATCCAAATGTGTTTTTTTTCCAGCCTGTCTCAGATCTTGACTCACTGATTTTTGCATGACTTTTAAATATTGCATGCGCATATAACTCGACCTTGTTAGTCCTTCGATAAAGTCGTGGGACTTCCGAAGCGTTTTTCAGGAAACGAATGCTCCTTTCTGTTAGATGCTGAGTCATTCTGCTGTTCAGTGTGGGGACGCAGCTGGACAGGGATGCACTGGAATCCTGCAAGGCTTCTGGAGCACCAAACAGGAATCAAACTTATTACTTAGGAACATTAGAAATGGCATCAGAATCTTACAACATCAGAAATGGCTTCAAACTCCAGAACAAACCTGAAACAATGGCAAAGTTTTTGAACCCAATACTCTCCAATTTTGCCTTGATCATCTCAGAGATATCTGGAATCTGGGAACAGAGTTAAAGTATTTCTCACTCGATCCAAATAAGATCAAAATTAGACTCTTGCTCCATGTGAAAAAAAAAAATCTGAATTACCTGTCCTTGTAACTTATCAACATCAGCTGCAATGAAGACGAGCTTCTTGGTAGACAAAACGTTGGGGCTGCCAGTTTCGCTGTCTGCATCCTGTGATGTGCGACTGGATGTGGAGGAGGCAGAGCTTGGGAGCGGCCTTATCGAATCTTTGCTAGTCTCTGGAGGAGGTGTTTTCGTTAGGACCTGTGAGACGAAAAAGAAAGACATCAATAACAATCCTATTATGATTCATATCATTTCCGCCAGGAATGCTTTACCTCAGTAAGGAAGGTGGTGTATCTGGTAATCAGCTGAAGCGTTAGTTTCCAAAATCGATGAGCAAGCGGTGGCAGGTACACCTGGTCAGCCCAGCACCTGCACACACAGCTCCACAACACTTCGGTCACCTGCAGGTGGTAGCTGCTGCCCGCTAGTTCACAAATACAAAAAGCAGACTAGGTGTCAGTGGTGATCAGTTACTCGCACTCTTGTGACAGCTATATTTATCACAAAAAGCGGACAGCAACAGGTCCACAGATGCATAGAGAAAGCAATACCACATATCCCTGTCAACATGTCCTAAAGGTGTTGTTTTATGTTCATGTGCATTAATTCTTACATTAACCCAAATACACTGACTGACCTGGAGCTGCCTCTAGTCCATCAGAAATGGCATTTTCTAGACTTCCAGCAATCTCCTTGAACCTGAAAAACAAGTCAAGGCAAGAAAGTCAAGAGACAGCTGTAGACATAAAGACTTCAAAGTGGCCTCTGCTACATAGCACTTACATCGATTCTTACTGAAGTTCTCAATGACTTCAAACTTTCAATATACAGCACAGGATATGCAAAGATGTTGGACTTTTTTTTACAAATACTAATTCTGTATTAAGCAGAACATTAAACAGCTGATTTGTGATATGAAAGGTCAGACTGGTAATGGAGAACCCTTTACACAGGTCCATAATTGGCTGTATGTGACTGCCATGTGGGCTGATGCACAGGAAGTATGGGGGAACGAAACAGAGTGACAAATGGCAAATGCAATTTTACTCAAACTTTTACCAATCCTTTTGGCCATTAAAATCAGAGAACTTTTACACTTGGTCTTTTAGTTGTAACAATTAACAAATACAAATACAATTTAATTATACTTAAAAATAATTGAATCTGAATAAATAATCATTAAATAGAAGTCTTAAAGATATCTTAAAGTGTTCAATATCTACAGTAAATAGCAAACATTGTTTCAAATCCAGTATGTTAAACCATTAAACAAAGACAACACAAGAGCTACTGAAGTCCACTACAAGACCTTAATTCCAAGAAAAAGCAAACACATTTTACAGGCTTAACTGGCTTGAACAAACTAAGAGAGCAGTGGACTTTATAACCAGCGAATAATAGTGATCAAACATCACAGAGCAAAGACTGTCCAGCCTAAAACACAGATCGATTCTTATTCAGGGCGATTATCTCTCTTTAAATATATTGCACAAAGAACAGAATCCAAGCAACACAGGAGATTCCAAAAAAAATTATTTAAAACTATTTGAGTCACTTCCAACAGACACAGGGTGAGTTTACTGGAAGCAGGTTACAAACAACCCCTTTAAAGGAATCTCTTTCTCTGCACTTTTTTTTTTATTGTCAATATATTATATCACAGTGTAGGAAACAATGGGTCAAAGAGATTTTCTACGTTGTATTGACCCAGAATACTAGCTCATGAACAAAAGCACTGGAATGGTACAACCGTGACTGGATTTCTAATTCCTCTTACTCACCGCAGCTGGAAGTACACTGGCAGGTTCCATTTGTTCTGGAAGCTCTGGTAGCACGGATGTGCTCGCAGCCTCTTCACGCTGGCCTGGGAACCACACTGCCTCTCAAACTTACGAACAAAATCCATGCTGACAGTGTATCTCTTCACACAAGAACACAGCAACAAAGAGAACCATTTAATGAGGTGTACAATTCCATTTTATAAAGTGATTTTAGTCAAAGAAAACAATAAGTAAATAAAACAAGTCAATGCTGGTGCATTTTTTCACTTTGCTTACCTCATAAAATGCATCTGGGTTTCCAGGATTGAAAAGGGAAAGGACTCTTTCCTCAACACCTCTAATGATCTCAGGCCAAACAGAGTTCACCAGGAAGTCATATCCTGGAACAATGTCTGCTTTATCACTGGGCATACAAAAGGGTAAACTCATTAAAAAGCATTGTGTGTAATATTACAGCAATGGCACAATGTAGTAAACGTTCACTTTGAGTGGCAGACATACCTAGAGATTGCCCCACCAGTCACCTCTCGCAGCAGTCGACAATGGTGAGGCACAAACTCCAACAGCTTTGCATACATCATTTTAAGACCGTTAGGGTTGGATTTGACAAATTGTTCAACTATAACCTGAAACAAAAAGGAGAAATTGACATTCAGATGGAGAAGACAGATGCATTTTGTATCTGTAGGCTTGAATCTCATTTGCAAAACTCACAACACTGTAAATAATGACAGATATGCAAATTACAATTGACTGTACTGCTGTAACCGGGTGATATGCAAAATCTACCTCATCCATGTATGGTTTGACTAAGACCTGTCCGACCAGTGCCTCTGCATCCCTCGTCTTATCTATGGTAGCATATGTCCTGAGGCAATGCCGTACGATATCTATATTTGACGTCTGCAGGCCTTGGATCAGTAAGCCTTCCAGTGACTGCTGAAGCATAGCTGTGATACCTGCTATTCTCTGGAACACAGAGAAAAGCACTCACAAAATCAGTAATTAGATATACGGCATATGGACAAAAGTATTGGGGGCACCTGACCATTACACCAGCAGGGACTTTAATGACATTACATTCTAAATACACAGACATTAATATGGAGCTGGTCCCCCCCTTTGCAACTGTAACAGCTCCCACTCTTCTGGGAAGGTTTTCCACAAGATTTTGGAATGTTTTTGTCACCAGTAGAGCACTTGTGAGGTCAGACACTGATGATGGATGAGAAGGCCTGGCTTGCAATCTCCATTCCTGTTCATCCCAAAGGTGTCCAGGTGACTGAGGTCAGGGATCTGTGCGGGTCAGTCAAGTTCTTCCATACCAAACTCAGTGGCGGCATTTACACCACTGTGTCCGATGTTTGGCATTGAATTTCATAATTAAGAGGTATGTCCCAATACTTTGGTTCACACAGTGTAAAATACTTTCTCCTACCCCAGCTTAAAGTGACAAGAAACACAATGGGATACTTTAAGACTGGGAGCTCACCGGTCGGACTTTATCAAGCAATGGCATTCCTTTGCTCTGGACTGCATGAAACTGTAACTGGTTGAACTCGGTGGCAATCCGCTCTAGAATCTGACCTGCCAGAAGAGGACTTAAAAACAAAAAATAAGCTGTTCATTCAAGTGTAAAGTAAAATGCAAATGGTACATGATCTACAGAATCCTTTCCTTAAGCCATGAGTCATATTTCAAGAAGTTGTTTTGCTGCAATGTACACTACTGTACCGTTTGTGGTCAGTATGATTTTATTGTGATTAATACTTTTATTCAGCAAGGAGTGTGTAAAGTGACTTTAAAGACTTTTACATTGTAATAAAGATCGCTATTTCAAATAAACACTGTTCTTTTGACCTTTCCATTCATCAAAGAATCCTGAAAAAATATTTAATGTATGTTTCCACAAAAATATTAAGCAACATCGTTTCAACATTAATAATAAGAAATAATTCTGAGCATCAAAACAGCATATTAGAAAGATTTCTGAAAGATCATGCGACACTGAAGACTGGAGTAATGGCTGCTAAAAATTCAGCTTTGCCATCGCTGGAATAAATTACATTTTAAAATATATTTAAACAGAAATCATTTATAATTATTTTAAATTAGAATATTTCACAATAGTACTGGTTTTACTGTATCAAATAAATGCAGCCTTGGTGAGCATTAGAGACTAATTAAAAAAAAACTGACAACTAACTTTTGACAGGAGTGTAGTTGTTTCATTTACTTCTTGCCTCTTTCACTACTTCACGTACCTGCTGGTCTCAAGTGATGTTGTATCTTTAGTGTTTTGGTGAAGAATTTTCTCAATCTTCTCCACTGATCTCACAACTTGGATAAGTCTTAACACACAGAGCTACAAAAGACACAATGTTGGACAATGTGTGCATAGTTGTAACATAGTATTTTAAGTTTCATCACCATGACTTACCTTCTTTTTTTGAATGTCATCTTGCTTGGATAGCTGGGTGTCTATAGCTTCAATAACTTCATTCACAGAGGATCTCAAACTCTGTACATGAGAGGAAGATACTTAGATGATGACTTACATATGGCCAATTCAAATGTATTCACTCATGTGTTAAGCACTTACCAGCACCTCTTCGCGTAACTGGCCCAGAGGGACAGAGAGCTGATTAAGGGCTTTATCCATTCCAACCTAAAGCACAGATACAAACAATAAGCCTCCAAAGCATGTGGCAAAACTCATAATGCTCCAGAAAAAGACATCACAAGACTCACAAGATTTGTGGAAAGGTTAACGAAATCTGCATAGTCTTTATTGATAAGCTCGACCATGGCTGTTTTGAGAAGCCTGTAATATTGCTCCAGATCTTCACGCATCTCTTCCAGCTGGACACGCTTTCTGCAATCAGCCACAAATTTGTCCACGTCGAAGTCATCCTGCATAGAAATGTACAAATATTTAAAATCAAAATACCATCAGGCAGAAAGGTGTCAAATAATGTCAAACACAAGGAAGGACAACTGGAAGACAGTCAAGAGATTGTTGTATGGAGAATAAATATCCAAAAGAGCTTCCATTAACCCTCTGCTCTGTTTGGTGGTTGAGAGACCACACATCCATTTTAAAGATAAATATCAAGCTGACATTTTAATGACTTTTCATAAATCACATGAGAAGTGATTATAAACTATTTCAATGAGATAACATTCTCCAACTGTCCTCCATGTAGAATGCTATGTTGTGTATGTTTGTAGGTCTGCGAGACCCCAGATGCTGTTGCTGTACGTGCTGTAAAAATGTTCTCATTCTATCAGTTGTGTTTTTGAGTATTTTTTTATTTTTCTACAGTATATTTTGGGTGGTTCAAAACTACATTGACGTGACAGTCACATTTATAAAAAGAGCATGGATTTGTGAGGGTTAAAACTTTATTCAAGTCCAACAGGTTTTGTCTTAGTCAAATGAACATATTAAAAGTGCCTGAAGTGGAAAAATAGATTAACTTGCTAATTATTATTATTATTATTATTTGTATGTGTACATCATTGGGATCTCTGGGGTCCCAACATAAAGTCAGTCTGGGCAGCGTTAAAGATACTTGTTCAAGCAGTACTTAAACATATAAATACAACACACAAACTAAACATAAACCGCTGCTCAATCAAGTTAGTTACCGTAAAGCTGAATACAGGTCTCTTTTCAGTTGATATATTACTAACAGATCACTCACCTTCATAAATTCGTCTTTGTCGAAACACAAAGAATCGGGTCCCTTTGGTAACGTCATCATTCTTTTCGGACGGCCACAAACAAAATAATCTGCAAATGTATTTGTTTAAACGTGAAGATTATTTGCTACATTTCGTTCAAATGACACAGTAATCAACTCAACTTCCGCAAACATGGCACACGCTAACGAGTGGGTGGAAAATACAAAACCCTGCTGTGTCCGAAAGAGAGAATATCTGTGAAGAGCGCCTTGATTGGCGACCAGCGGTACTGCAGCACGACTATACTGCACAGCCAGTCATGAAAACTAATTTGATGACAAATTATTCCCAGCTATGTGAACACACGTATTTTATACTGCCAAGGACACTTGAATAGTGTTTTATTCCTATTATGTAACCGGTGTTATAACTATAGGGTGAAAAATTACTTAGTTGCTCAATAAGACTAGCAAGCTGCAAGCAAGTAACATAATGTTTAACATAACGTATTCTATAACTATCAGTATTTAAATTTGATATTTGCTTTGTTTTATTAAATAACAAAAAAAATAAATTTACAATTGTATGATATAAATTGCTTTAAATTTTAAAATGTCTAACTGGATCTCGTTTGATGCTATTGTATATTTAAACTGGAAAATATTAATACGCCCACAAGGCATTTTAACACTATGGCAGAGCAAATATAATTCGTGTCTCTAACATCTATGATTCATTCAGAGGTTAATCCCATTGGACAGTGCAGGGAGACCGAGTCAGGTGATTTCCAAGGAAGCCGGAGATTCATTCAGTCATTCTCCACAGAGAGGGGAGGCCGCCCAACCCGGATGCACAGATCGTTTGTGGAGCGGTCAGTTGTGGGGTTCAGCCCGCAGGACTGGGAGTATTTCAGCACCAGAAAGGACGAACAGCTCCCGCGACGTTCACCTTTGTTTCCACGCCGCTACTGAGACCTGCGCCCGCTGCATCTCGCGCAGAGGACCGAGACACGCTCGCTCGCACGCACGCAGAGGAACTTGGTGGAACAGACTGTATGCCGGATTTGACGCTTTTAAGGAAATCATTTGCATGCCGAATCTCGCCGTGTGTAGCAGCTCTACGTCGGGACTGACAAACGATGGCGGAGTGTGGAAGGAGGGCACTGTCGCTCCTCGAGGAAGCGCGTTCTCGCTACGAGAGCCTGCAAATTTCCGATGATGTGTTCGGGGAGTCAGGAGACGACAGCAGCGAAAACCCCTTTTACAGTACAACGGGAGACTCCAATTCGGATAACTACACGGAGACAAATCCGGACGATGCCAGAGCAGGTGAAACTAGGGGTCAGAACTGCGGTCCCCCCGGTTCCGTCTCCAACGGCCAGGCGCAGGAGGAGGGATGGAGCGACTCGCTACAGGACCTCAGCGTGCCCCACTATCAGGACACGCATGGTAAGTTGGTCTAATGATGAGCGAATCTCATGTAAATGCAATGCAGCTTCATCAACCTTGAGAGGCCTGCATGCTCGACTAGTAATTAAGCTCACAGATGGGACTCTTTGATGACTACATTGATTTACTTTGATCTCTCTCATCAGATGGCTCCAACAGATGACACAATTCCTTCAAATATGGATAAGGGGTGATTAGTAACTTGCTCTTTGAAATCCTGCACATGGGGGGGGGAATAGGAACTGAGATAGCATGCCAAATTTGGTTTTTCATTCCAGTTGAGGATGCTTCCAGTGTAATCTCTGCCAGACTCAGAGCAGCTGTGATTAGGAGTATGATTAGCTCTGTATCAGGGTAGGAGGGTCATTTGCATAGGCAGATGAGAGGAGGCTCTTATTTCTGAGAAATTCACACTTTAATGTGGTTAGATGGCAGCTTTTAGAGGAGATTTACACTTGGTGTAAATGCTTTCTTATCAAGTGATGTACTATGCACATATCCAGCAAGTGGCAATTAAGACCGTAGAGAGAACAAATAAGTAAAGACTAATGAGAATAAGGACAAAAAAAGTTAACTAAAACCATGCACATGTCAGACCCAATAATTTGTTGTAGGATAAAATCCTTAACATTCCTGTCAGGCAGTCACCAGTTTGAATTAGTATTCAATTCACTGTCAGTGTAGGTGGCTTAATCTCATTTTAAGAGATTTTAATAATGCCTTTCATTCAAAGTGTCACCACATTTTATCCAAGCGCACGACTGACTGACTGTCTAGACTTTTATGCCATAGACAAACACTCATTTAGTCATTTTTATGAACTCCGTTTACCTGATCAATTTTGCATGACTTATCAGTATAAAGATGCTTGCCAGTCAAATGCTTGTGGTCCCACTGCCTACCCAGCAATCTAAAACAAATGCAATGAAATACAAAACAGATAGGGTATGTTGCTTAATGGTTTATTCATTTATTTAACAGTTAAAGATGCTGTGCATGTCGGAACAGATTTGGAGAAATTTTGCATCACTTGCTCAACGTGGATCCTCTGCAGTAACAGCTGATAAAAACATCACAATAATCCACAAGTAATCCACAATTAACTTCTTGTGAAAAAAAATATTTTGGGGTGAACTATTCCATTAAAGTCATGACACAGAAATGTGATCAAATCTGCTAAATGTAAAATATATTGTGATGCCAGCGTTTAGCAGTATATGTCTCACAAAGTATTAAATGAACGGTTTTCTAGTTTCTCTTACTAGGAAATGAAATATGAAATGAAATGATTCATGACTGGAGTTTGACTGGAATAGTCCAGTTGTACAAAGTAAAAAAAATATATATTGTGATAAATCCTGAATATGCACTCCTGTAATGAATGAATATGAGAGAGAAAGAGAATGGCTCTTTTTCGATTTCAGCCACACTATATTTCTCCCTGAATCATAGATAGAGATAATCGTGTGCTAATGCCAGACAGACTTGCAAATACTGTGGTTTACATAATGTGCAGGGAATCATTTCTGCCTGAATAACAAAATGTGTTTTTTTTTCTAGCAAGGATGGTTGAGAGTTCTATCTGTTATTTTATATGTTCTGCTCTAATTGCCATTTAATGGCAGTCTAAATATTGTCATAAACAGGAGTGAAGAGAATCCTTGGCATCTCTTACTGTACAGACCATGACTGCTTGACATGTGGATCGATAGACTGATATTAATATCATGCTTCATTTCACTCAAGTCAAAGTGACCCAAGAGCATCTTTAAATGACGCATGTACGTGTGTGTTTTTAAATGTCATATAAAGAGCTTTCATTGCACAAATATGAAAAAATGGAAGATTGATGCTATCAGCTGATGTTTAATGATCCAAAACATACTGAGAAATACATTAAAATGCCACGATAATGTTTTAGAAGAAAGTATCCTAATCTGAATATATTGCTTTTTCTTGTTGTGGTTTGAACATTTTCCAAATTGAGTAGATTCCTTGCTGTTGATAAATGACACATCTTTCCGTCGTGGTTGCTCAGAAAGTTCTGTCTGTCACCATGGGGGGAAATGGGCCATCTGGTTGCTGCCTTTGCTTTGGCACAAGCTGCAAAATGATGCATGAAAGATACACAAAGTCAGTCCACAGACATTTTGCATTTCATGTCATGGGTCATTTAATAAGATGTGACACTTGTGGATACTGACAAACAATGTTTCATCAGAGCGAGTTGTCAGTGCTGTTTGTATAAGGTAAATGTATGGCACAACCCTCTAGCCTGACTGTGATTCTTATATAAGGTCTATATTATTTAGGTCAACATAATAACACAGTTTGTGCTCTGGCTCACATCCTTTAGACTTTGAGGTTATTTAAAGCATGTCATTTAACATATCTCAAGTAATTTGAAAAATATTGAATTATAGAATGATAAACCAAGGGACAATAAAGAGCTATAAGTTATACTTCATTTTGCCCACAACAGATCTTTGTCAAACCCAACAGTTCTGTGACATGATTGTTAAACTGAGACACAAAGCTTGGACTGTTTGAGGGCCATATGGTGTAATTCTGCACCTGTTGTGAGATCTAAAATAATAAGATAAATTCATATCAGCTTGCTTATTTGTATAAAGGAGGTGTAGAGAAGGTACAGGGACTGCTGGTTCTTCTTCTCAATAATTAATCTAGGAAACTATGTAGCACTCCAGCAGCTGTTCTCCTGGAAGACTGACTGTAGACACAGAGATAAATAAAAATATTTAGATGTTCTACAGAACTTCTGGGTGTGGAAAGAAAACCTCTTTGAACACAGCTATTATATGAAATACCACTGCAGCACTTAAAATCACATTAATCTTAAAAGAGAACAAGCATTATATATATACATTTTAGAAGTGATATGGCCATTATCTGGATTAAGCTACAGAGTCATACTGTATTACATAACACCGATTTAATACCATAAAAGATTTCAAGCCAGATATGAACATAGAACTGTTTGCTCTATCAATATCATGCTGCAATTTTTAAACTAAAGGAAATTCAGACCAGCATGAAAATAATAAATCTAACTTTTTAAAAAATATTAAAAATATGTATATACATCATTTAGGATTTAATATGTATATACATATTTTTCATAGAGACCTTTAATAAAATACTTTTGGGAAGTTGACATGTCCAGCTATACTTCACACAAAACAATTTTAATCAGCGGTTTTTCAAATTCTTTATAATTATTATGCATGCAATATTTTAAAAATGTAAAAAATTATATTGTCACACAGCAGGACCATTTAATGAAGTAGTGAGAAAGGCAAAAGCATAATTAATGAGGACCATTTACAATACCTAAGATATACAGCTTACCTTATACATTTATATCAATTTTAATCTATACTAGTTATTAAGAAGACCATGAATACATTGTGTCAACTACCTATTTTTCGCATACTGTGCAAAATGTTTATATAATCAGCAACTTTGTGATATTTTTCTTGAGATGTTTTCTCTCTCTCTCTCTAACTGATCTTCTTTTGTGTTTGATAAGTAGTTTATACAAAAAGGCACAGATGAATGAACATAATACACTGTACAATGGACTTTATCCTGAGGGAATGTTTGAGCTTGCTTTACAAGCTTCTTCAGAGCTGTAATGGGAGATGAGCTACTGGTTGAATAGCAGATGTTGTGGTTAGGTTAAGATGTGTGTCATGCATGAACGTGAGGCTTTGGAAAGCATGACAGAGCCATTTGTTCATGAAAATAATGAAATAATGAAGACAATTTCAAGACAATTTTTACAACAGATTTCCTTCGTAAATCAGAATCC